GCTATCCCTTCTCCTTTCATAAGACTATGAGCTTATTTCCCATTTTTGCTTTTACAGACAGTGCTGCTTTAACCTTCTTGGGCAGTCTCCTTGTGTACACACCTGAGAGTTTCTCTGGCGTTTATACTTAGGAGATGCTGCTGCTTTTTAACTAGGAGGGCTCAATAATACCCACCTCAAAGGGTGCTGTGAAAACCTATGAGGTGGTGCAAATAAAGCACAATTTCAAGCATTCAAACATGAATTCTTGCTGTTAGACTATCTCTCAAATGTATATGAAAAGCTGGGACATAAAGGGTGATAGTCTGGTGCCAGAATGATAAAGAAGTGTAATACATGTGCTTCTGTAGCTCCCAGAATACCTAGCTGATTGTAATTTTCTGCCCATGTCATGCTGTTTCTTCACCTCCACATCTCTGCTCCTGCTGCTGTGTCCTTGGGCTTGAAATGGTCTCCTCCAGTTCTGGTTCTCCCCCTCCGCACTTATCCCTGTCTGCTACTTCTCTGAAGCCTTCCCTGATTCCTCAGGCTGCCTTAAGTACCCTTTCCCCTTTGCCTCCTACATCTCTCTCACCATCTTTATATGCTTTTCCATAATCCTCTCTAAATGGTCAATGTCTTAGATACAGGGCCTATGTTTTAATCATCTTTGTATCGGGGCACTGAGTATAGTACCTGGTACATGTGCTGATAAATGCATGTGGAATGAGTGAATTTAGGAATTCTTGGGAGGAAAGCAGTTAGGAGCTAAGGATTTCTAAGAGCAAAGGAAGAACGATGGAAGCAACTGTGCTGCTTGAGTAAGAACACAGGGACCAGAGAGAGTGTAAAGTTTTGTCAATGATGTAATTATACAGGATATAATGGACTATTCAGGAGGGAGCCTGCTCCTGTCATTCTGGAATGTGAGTGCTAGGTGTGCACAAGAACTTCTTTGATCCTGTGATTATGCAATGAATGACTAAATCAGCCAGTGAATACACTTGAAAGCAATGAGCAACCCCTGGCTTATTTAACACTGCCAGGTCTAAAGCAGGATTGGCAAACATCTTCTGTAAAAGGCCAGACAGTAAATATTTTTGACTTTGTGGGCCTTATGGTCTTTGTTGCAGATATTCAACTCTGCTGTTGTAGCGTGAAAGCAGCCATAGAAAATATGTAAACAAGTGAGTATGGCTGTTTTCTTATACGATTTAATTTGTCATCATTGAAATTTGAACTTCATGTAATTTTCATGTGTCACAAAATATTCTTTTGACTTTTCCCCCCAACCATTAAAGAAGGTACAAACCGTTCTTAGTTCACAGGCCCAAAGGAAACTTGTTGACCCCTGGCCTAAATGAATCTTAGCTCTGGGTACGAAGGAAGGTCGAATCCAATGATAAAGGGCTGTTCTTCTACTGAAAAAGGCCTTAGAAAAACATTTAAAATCTTGCAGCTCCCTTGATTTGCCACCAGATGGTGGTCCCTGCAGATGTGTGACTCAGACAGTGAGCCTTTCAACAGAAGGATGATTGGAGTTTTTCCAGGTTGTGGTAGATCAACCAGTGCGGTATTAACACAGGCACACAGACTGTCTCAATGATTCAAAACGGTTACTCGAGGTTTCATTTCTCCACCTTCACACTTATTTGTACATATTCCCTGAACTGCAGCATATCCAACTGACGGGAACACAATCATTCTCTTAAGACCTCTGAGATTGTTTGCTTGAAGATCCAGGACAATACAAATACAGAATATGGTTAAAGAGTTGAGGGCTGCAATGTGAAATCCGGGAACAGATTCTACCCAAGATGAAAGTTAACCAGTGGAGCTTATAGTAAGGGCTACTTGAAACCCATGTCTAGTCTTGCGATGTTACGCTACTAACTCTCTCCAAAACGGCCCTCAGTCCTGTCCTCTTCACAGCACCTCTTTCTACCCTTTTTTTTGGCTGCACAGCGCAGCCTGTGGGATCTTAGTTCCCTGACCAGGGATCAAACCCGTGCCCCTACAGTGGAAGCACGGATTCTTAACCACTGGACTGCCAGGGAAGTCTAACCTTCTGCCCTTAAGGTGCACGACTGGGGATCCAGCATTACCCTTGCTGCCAACAGTTGCTGCCAACAGTTGCCCCACACCCCCTTTAGGGTATGGGAGTACTCAGTAGCCATAGTAATGTCCTTGGCATGTGTGTGTGTGGCCTGAGTCGGGAGGGAAGTTCAGCTAAAATAGAGGTAAATGGGACCGTAATGGTCATTCTCGTCACCCCTTGTCTGGAATCTCCCAGCTCAGACCACTCTCCTGGACCAGGGGTCCTTTGACTTGAACAGTCTCATTTTTCTTCTTTTCTCACCACCCTTCTTTATCCAGACATGCCAAAGAAAGAGACCGGATGGTTATTAAAATCATTAACAATGGAACAATTTTCCATCTTTTTGGAGCAGAAAAGGGCTCAACAGAAACATGATTGTGGGGGTCTGTGAATCTCAAGTTTACGATCTTAACAGCTAAACCACATTGCCATATGGTTATGTCCACTCTGCTCTCCTAATTTGCTCTCTCAGGAAATGCAGAATGAATCTACTGCTTCTTCCTTACTGTGATGAATGACGTTGAAGAAAGGTTTCATGTCCTTCCTGAATCTTTTCTTCTCTGGCTAAACAGCCCCAGTAGAGCAATAAGAAAACCTTTCAAAACTCTAGATGTGCTTTTCCTGAGGACGAAGACCAGCAATTCTCAATGGAGGCAGTTCCACTAGTTAGGGGGCATCTTAGAAACGTGGGGGTAACTTCTGGTTGTCACGATGACTGAGGGCTGCTACTCACGTATTGTGGGCAGGGCTAGGACCAGCAAGAAAGGTTTGGATCCCAGTGGGGAAAAGAAAAGAACTGGAGGGGGGCAGATGAGCAAAATACGTTTACATAGGATTTGTGTTAATATGTAATATAGCAGGGCCCTGTGCTCCCTTCCCTCTCACCAGCCTGATAACTAGAGCCGATATCCCCTGTCTCACTGGTCCTGGCCAGAGAGGCTGGATGTCCTGGGAAGCAAGGGACAGCCCTGTACGTTAAAGTTTCTCTGCCCATCCTATACAACTTCAAATATCCAGATGTGTATTTCACTTATGTAAAACTGTTACCAAACTCAGGTTCGACTGCTCGCCGCTCAAAAGCTAATAATTTAAGAGGCAAGTGTCAGTAGAAAGGAAGGATACTTTAATCAGAAAAGATGGCAATCTGGGGAAAAGTTGGACTCACGTCCAGAGGCCAACTTTGAAGATTCTGCTCAGCCGTGACAGTTTTTAAAGGGGAAAAAGGGGAAGAATCTCAGTGAATCATCGAGGCAGGAGGTTGGGTTCTGCATCATTCTCGGTTAGGTAGACTGGCTGACTCTTTCTTCAGATGTGATCTTGCCTGCATGATCTACCTGCAGGATTGCTTAAGGGGGCTGTTGGGGGTAGAGAGCTAGTCATTTGTTAGCTGTTTAATTCTTCATTTTTACCTCTTGTTATCTAGGGAAAATATCAACAGATTAGACAAAGCATGGTGTGTATTCAGGAGAACGTAAGTCAGGAGTTAGGTTAAATTGCCTGGTGATCTCATTCCTATAATTAGGTTCTTTCAAGGTTAGAGGGGAACAGAAATGGGCAAACAGGAAAGGGGCAAAAGAGCCGCTTTCAAAATCTTGTTTATATTTATCTGAGTCTAGAACTCTTTTATGTAATCTTAGAGCAGTTTTTATAAAGTTTTATTTAATGCATGGTAAATTTTCCAGGAAGGCAACTTCTTGTTAACTGAAGAAAGATTATACTTTCTTTCATTCAGAGCTTACTAGGAGTCACTCACCATTTCAGAAAATCATGTCACAGACAACAATGCCTTGTGTGGTATTTGTGTTCCCCAAATCAATCTACATCTTTAGCTCTCACCATCGTAGTGATTCTACTTAGAGGTGCAAACATCTGACTACTTTATCATGTTTTCTAGTGTAGTTGTACTCGAGCATGTGTCTTGTGAGCACATTGACATATTTAATTTACAATGAATATATATACTTTTATTATAATTTAACTTTCATTTTTATTTCTCCCTTATTATGTTAGACCAGTGTCTTAGTCCATTTGAGCTGCAATAACAAAATAGCAAAGACTGGGTAGATTGTAAACAACAGAAATTTATTTCTCACATTCCTGGAAGCTTGAAGTCTTAGATCAGGGAGCCAGCACGTTTGGCTGGAGGTTCCCTTCCAGGTCACAGGATTCTCCTTGTGTCCTCACATGGCAGAAGAGAAGGGCCTAGGGCATCTCTCTGGAGGCTCTTCTATAAGGTGCTATGTAATCTCATTCATGAGGGTTCCACCTTCATGATTTAAGTACCCCCCAAATGTTCCACCTATTAATACCATCACCTTTGGGGGTAAGGATTTCTACATATGAATTTGGTGGGGGACACAAACGTTCAGACTATAGGAGTTAGTAATTTATGTTTTTTAAGTTTAAGAACTGATAAATTCTGTATGAATTTTATTTCAGAGCAGCAAAAGGGATTTTTTTTTTTTTTTTGCGGTACGCGGGCCTCTCACTGTTGTGGCCTCTCCCGTTGAGGAGCACAGGCTCCGGACGCACAGGCTCAGCGGCCATGGCTCACGGGCCCAGCCGCTCCACGGCATGTGGGATCTTCCCGGACTGGGGCATGAACCCCTGACCCCTGAATCAGCAGGCGGACTCTCAACCACTGGGCCACCAGGGAAGCCCAGCGAAAGGGATTTTATATAATACTTACTATAATGAGAAACTAAGTATAATACTTTATGTGTTAGTTTCCTATTGCTGCTGTAACAAATTACTTAGTGGCATAAAATAACAAATTTACTATCTTAAAGTTTGCCGGTTAGAAGCCAGAAATGGGATTCACTGGGCTCAAATCAAGGTGTCGTCAGGGCCATGCTTCCTTTGAGGGCTCTTCGGGGAGCAGCTGTACCCCTGCCTTTTCTAGTTTCTAGAGGGTGCCAGCATTTCTCTGCCCATAGCCCCTTCCTCCAATTTCAAAGCCAACAGTATAGCATCTTCAACTGTCTCTCTGACTCTGACCCTCTTGCTTCCACTGTTACATCTCCACCTGACTCTGACTCCCCTAACCTCCTCGTATAAGGATTCTTGTGATTCCATTGGGCCCTCTTGGACAATCCAATCCAGGGATAATCTCCCTCTCTCAAGATACTTAATTTAATCACATTTGCAAAGTCCCTTTTGCTATGTAAAGTAACATATTCACAGGTCTGGGGAGTAGGACCTGGACATCTTTGGGGAACCATTATTCTGTCTACCACACTTTAATAATATAATTCTTGTTGTTCTGATAAGGTTGAGACTTAGTTGAAGCTAAAGCACTGGGTTTGATGCTCCCTCTCTCCTTCTGACTTGTGGCAGGTAGAGTTCCTCCTTGACCCTGGCTTGGGCTGAACCTGTTCCAGGGGTATAAGTGTCTAGAGAAGAACGACACCATCCCTGCCAGGCTGAGCTGCTAGCTCCCAAGGGTGGACTCTGGCTGTTGCCAGGCAATGTGGATGCAGCCATTCTTTTGAAACTAACTAAAAGAACTCCTTTTTAATCATTTTTTTCCCCTGAGAGCATGTGATGTTTACTTTTGGGGGGCACCCAGTTTTAAAGGTCTTAACGTGTTTTGGTCTTTCGGATACATCAGAAGTCACTGAGTTATCCTCTGGTTCCAGGGGCTATGCGTTATGACCTAAAAATTGGGATACGTGGTCTGACAGAGGATTCTGCATCTGCTTCCAAGAGTCAAAGAAGTCTCAGGAGATGTAATTTGGTTAAAGACACATCAGAATTTCTAGCATATCTTGATGGTTTGGGGAAGATAACGTGACAGAATAAATAAAATAAATTTGCTATCATTTAGTAAGTTCTGTACTAAGTACCAAGTGCTGTGCTATGTCCTTTGTATATATTATCTCATTTACCAGTGAGGTAGAAATTATCACTCTTGTTTTACAGGTACTATCTCAAAGTTGTTCTAGTAGGCTCAAAAGTCAAACACAGATCTATCTGACTCAGAAGCCAGTGCTTGTAGACTACTACACTCACAGAAACCCGGAGCACAGAAATCTGTACACAGATGCATCCCTGAAACTAAAAATATTACCTTGAAGGTAAGCCATAGCTCCAGATCTGCAAATGTCTTTCTTTTCAACATCAGTGAGAGCTGCCTGGAGATCGAGATGAGTAGCATTTAGTTCAATAGAGATTTTAGAATAATCCTTCCAATGTCCTCATTCCTGGGAAAGAACAAGGTATTGGTATTTTTCTGGCAGCGGACACCCATTTAAGGGAGATTTGATAGAATGATAGACATGAGGGTTTTCATTTTCAAGGCCTACCTCCTCTCATAATACAGTCTGAGTAATACATCATCAGGGAACGCTCAGACCTCCATGCCCCAGGTGGGGATGTTGTGGGAGCCCCAGGTAATACTGGAGAAGAGGGATGTCCCTTGGAGCCTAAATAGTACTGTTATATACACGGCAAAGGGGTCAATTTAGCATCTGCTGCTCTCTGCCAACAATCTACCCGTGGGGGAGGGAGTAGGGAAACAAGGGGCCCATCTGACTTGAGAAAGTCCAAGCCTGACAGCTGAAGGGTCCCAGAGCAGCAAGCATCACCTCGCCTCTTCTCTTGGACCATGTCAGCTGTCTGCTTTGGATTGACAGAGGCATCTGGCTTCTAAAAATACCCTACTGACCAAGGGCTGCCTATTCCAACTACAGCTGGGCATGACTGCAATCCAGGACTTCACGACTCCTTGCAAAGGAACTTTTCCAAAGTTTTCAGGCCCAATTTGAGAAGCACACCAGCCCATGGTCATTTTCGACTTTGTCAGTTTTGCTGGGCGGTGAATGGGACCCTTCCCAGGTCACTGTCCTCTGGCCTGGCCCATCCCCGTCTCCAGGAAAAGAGGCAGAGGGAGGGTGAGGGCCCGGTGGCTGAGAGGGGGTAGGGAAGGGGAGGTGCCTGTCCATTTATAGTCTTGCTGTTGGGATGTTGAAGGTGCTGAAATAGCAGCGAGGACAAGGGACTTGGCTCAGTGTTAAATATCGGCCGAGCTGCCCGAAGCTTCTGAGATGACAATAGGGGGAATGGAGAACGTGGAGGTCTTCACTTCTGAGGGCAAAGGCAGAGGTCTGAAGGCCACTAAGGAGTTCTGGGCTGCTGACGTCATCTTTGCTGAGCGGGCTTATTCCGCAGTGGTCTTTGACAGGTACGGAATGTGGGTTGTCTTCTTTTCTCCCATTGGTTTGGCCGGTGCCGCATTCTCGAATACTTTGCTCTCAAAATCAGCAGGGAAAGGGATACAATCCATGTGACCATTGATAACGCAGGGCACTCGGACAGCTAAGTGTTTGCTGGCATGACTGTTTCTGCAAACAGTCATGGCCAATGGGGTTCGCTCTGGTGCCTGGGAGGGTTGCAAAGGTGAGCAAAAGCTTTGGGGCACGCTCTCAGAACACCAGTGAACTTGGCCGAGTGGGAGTGCTGTGTGTGGAGAGGGTGGAGGGACAGGGAGTGGAGAGGTGGGTGTGTTGCCCTAGGTAATGTTCTCGTATGGAAGCCTCCATGTTTTTAGTTTCTGAGGTGTAATAAATATATTAGAGGATTAAGTCATTGCTAAGACTTTAAAAAAGTAATTGTAGATACACAAGTAATCTGGAATCCACTTACCTTTAAAAATTAGAATATCTCCAATGAACTGGAATCCCCTTTCACCTTTCCCACCCCATGTCCCAGTCCCCTCTGTCTTTCCTCAGAGGTAACCCTTGTTATGATTTTAATGTGTTTCCTTCTAGAATGTTCTTGTACTATTACATATATCTCTGTCTATCTATCTATGTATCTATGTATCTATGTATCTATCTATGTACCTGCCTGCCTATGTATATCCGTACTTATCAAGAAGTATGGCTGTCGTTTGTCTGTTTTTTCTTTTTAACAGAAATGGTGTCATACTTCTTTTTTCTTCTGGCTGCGCCATATAGCTTGGGGGACCTCAGGTCCCTGACCTGGGCTTGAACCCGGGCTGTGGCAGTGAAAGCCTGGAATGCTAACCACTAGGCCATCAGAGAACTCGCAATGGTATCATACTTTGGATATCATTCTGGAAATTGCTGTTTTCACTCAGCGACATGTTTTGATATATATCCTTATGGGAATTATAAGTCTATAGCCACTTCTTTTAAATCCTCGAAGATCTGTGTTTTTCCTGCCACACGTAGATCTATCCATGTTGATATATGTGCTGTATGGACTGCTGTGGATTTTAACTGCTGTGGACTGTCTAACCTATAAATACATGAACTTTTGAAAATCTGTTCCCCTATTGAGAGACATTTGGTGGTTTCCAATTTTTCATAAAAACAAACATTTCTGTGATCAAAATCCTTGACCGTGTCCACTTGTATTCATGTGTGATTATTCTCTAGGATAAATGGCTAGAAGAGGAATCACTGTGCCATAGGGTGTGCTGTTTTCCATTTTAATAGGATCTCCAAAGTGGCTCTATTAAATTACATCCCCATTTCCCCACAATCCTGTCCATACTTGACCACCAAACTTTTAAAGTAGTACTAAATCTTTCTTTATTAACAAAACAAAACAAAACCCTGCACTGTGATAAAATCATGACAGTATCCTCTGAGCCCCAGAACTGGGGTGACCTGCCTGACGTTGAAGTGGTCTGAATTAAGATGGCTTCTGATAATCTAGGCTTTGTGGTTGGCTCACTGTATGACCATCCTGAGAATAGGCACGGCTTTTCAGAGATAATTTGAGTAGCATTCAAATTCTCATTTCTTCCAGTTTACCAAGACCTTCAGGGAAAAGGCAGTGAACAGAGTACACGGCTAGCTACAGCTGAAGAATTTAGGGGGGCTGAGATGACAGTAATACCTCTTCAAGGGGAGCGTGTCTTTATTTACTTGTGTGTGTGTGTTGGGGGCAGTTGAGGAGTCAGTTGGATTCAGAATTAAGACATAAAAAGCTAGAAACACAGGAACTCTGAACAATGATCTTGTTACTATTGCTGAGTTGCTACCTTGCCTTTTATGGAACACCTCTGTGGGTGTCTCCAATTCCCTAAAAGCCAATATAGCCAATCACGTTTCGTTTTCAAGAGCGTTTGGAATTGAGCAGGTTTTCCTTTCATTACAAGAGTAAAACTTAGGAAGAAAAAAAATGTATCTTCACGCGAAGCTAACATTAACACTGTTGTCTATTTCCTTCCAGCTTATTTTAAAACATAGGTTTCATTTGTACTATTAGCTGGGATCTTATAAACTATCGTGGCTTTTCATTTAATGATTTAAGTACCTTCTGCGTTACTATAGTCTCTTCATAAAGATAGTATTTAACGGCTGCGTGCTTTTTGACCACTCCTTTATAACTGGACATTTAGGTTGTTTACCTGTTTTTCTTACTATAAAGAATTCATCATTCATTTGAAGTAATAACTCTAAAAAACTTTAGTGTATGTTGTGGATAAGATTCTAATAAAATCTTATATTATTGTTACAACACTAATAAAAATTAGGATGATTGGAGTAAACAATCTTTAAAATGATTAAAAACAATCTAAAAGACTATTTTAAAAAGTGATTTACCCGGCACACCTGAAATTAACACAACATTGTTAATCAGCTATATTTCAATAAAAAAGAAAGATAGATATTCAAATTACTGTTTCACAATTTTAAAAAAAGTGGTATACTCAAACTCATCACTGCACAGATGAGGGACCTGCTCGGGCGCACCTGAGACAGCCCAGAGAGGCATCAGAGAAAAGCCTTGCTCATCCTGTCTTCACTCCAATTTTAGGCTCCTGTGGAGACTCAGCCGCTGTAGAGGAGAAAACTGACTGGAGAGGTAGGACCAGGTGACCCACAAAAGTCACTCTATAAAAGAGGCACCTTCTAATCCATGTTATTGCAAGCCATATTATTTCTGCCTTACCCTCCAAACACAAACGTGAAGAAAGATTTTATCTTTAGTTGAGTACTGCATTAAATGAAAATCTCTTCTTGCAAACGATACATGACATGTACATGTACGTATATATGTATGTTATGAAGCATTACAACAAAGGAACCCCTGTGAAACCACCATCCTACTTAACTAGAACATTCAATACATGCATCTTCCCTATCTTTCCCTATCCTGTCTCATACTTGTTGCAAAGGTAGCTACAGCAGTATCCTGAATTTTGTGTTATTTATTCCCCTGCCTTTTGAATACTAGTTTTATCACATATGTACATAGTCCTAAACAATATATACTTTAGTTTTTATAGTTTATTTTTCATCTTTTCTATATAGCTTTTTTTTTTAAGATTTAATTTTATTGATTTTTGGCTGCTTTGGGTCTTCGTTGCTGCGTGCAGTCTTTCTCTAGTTGTGGCAAGCGGGGGCTATTCTTCGTTGCAGTGCGCGGGCTTCTCCTTGCAGTGGCTTCTCTTGTTGCGGAGCACGGGATCTAGGCACGCAGGCTTAAGTAGTTAGCATGCGGGCTCAGTAGTTGTGGCTTGCAGGCTCTAGAGCACAGGCTCAGTAGTCATGGCGCACGGGCTTAGTTGCTCCACGGCATGTGGGATCTTCCCTGACCAGGGACCGAACCCGTGTCCCCTGCATTGGCAGGCAGATTCCTATCCACTGTGCCACCAGGGAAGTCCCTATTTATCATCTTTTAAACCATGGTATAATGTTATATGTGGTTTTATTCCTCTTGCTTCTTTCATTCAAATGTAGTTCTTTTATTCATCCATATGGTTTTGTGTTACTAAAAAAACGAATAAGCTCTGTGTGTGTAGGTACCACAATTTATTTTTCCATTCTCCTGCAAGTGGTTGCTATGGCCATTTTTGTTTGTATCTCTTGGTGAACAGATACGTGAGGTGAGTATCCTAGGAGTGGAATTACTGGTTCATAATATATGTGATATTCAGCTTTAAAATATAATGCTGCTGGGCTTCCCTGGTGGCACAGTGGTTGAGAGTCCGCCTGCCAATGCAGGGGACGCGGGTTTGTGCCCCCGTCCGGGAAGATCCCACATGCCGCGGAGCGGCTGGGCCCATCAGCCATGGCCGCTGAGCCTGCGCGTCCGGAGCCTGTGCTCCGCAACGGGAGAGGCCACAACAGTGAGAGGCCCGCGTACCGCAAATAAATAAATAAATAAATAAAATATAATGCTGCACTGTGTCATGCTGACTTGCAAGTTGAATTGCGTCTTTGCTAGAATAGACTGGGCTTAGCATTAAGAGCAACAATCCAGGACTTTATAATACAGTCCTTAGTCTGGTTAGGATCTCTTTAATTTTGCTTGTTGGAAAAACAGCTGGTCTGCTTAAACATAAAGGAGCAAGAATAAAAGAAAGATAATCCATTTAGACCTGGCAAATGTGTAGCACTTGGGCTACCATGATCCCTGGCAGACATGGCTAATCAATCAGGCAACTCCTTTCTTCTGAACTCCAAGTTGGCCTGAGAGTTCTTTCTAGCAGGGTACTCCAGGGAGCCACTGCTAATCAACCAAAACTGGTATTTAAAAGAAAGCCTATTTGCCGTCCCTTTTAGGTATTTTGGGTTGGGTGCTGGAAAGGGATGAAGGCAAAGTAAGTGGGTAAGGTCAATTTACCAAGGAGTTGTTTTACATGGATTTGGTCTTTCAAAATGGATGAGACCCCAGGGGTGGTGAAGGGGCTGTTCAAGGTTTCTCTCTGTCCTTCTAGCTCTGTACTTTGAGGGTTCCCAGTTCCAGGGAGGACAGAGAATAGGAGCTCCATGATTCCTTAGCCTGACTGATCTTGCTTATTTCTGCATGAGGTGGGGCTAATATGGAAATTCATTATGCTCTCTTGTATAGATTTTTTAAAAACTTATTTTAGAAAATATAGGAGAACCAAAGTAAGAAAATAAAAATTCTCTGCAACCTTAGCATTTACAGAAAACTACTGTTAACCTTCTGGTATATATCATTACAACTTTTTTTTTTCTTTAAAAATTGAGGTATAATTGGCTTCTTACAATTCTTTTATGCAAATATGATGCATATAAAATATTTTCTTGATCCCAGCGATTTGTAGGTGGAGGGTAGTGGTGGGAGAAACACTGTATTAAATGTATACCTTGATCATAAAATGCTTCCCTAAATTCAAGATATTAAAATATTTGGGGAGGTTATTTTACAATGAAAGGAACGTGACACAATATAGTA